GTTCTTGTGGCTTCATTTTGCTGGAGAGCTCAATATACTGATACGAGCTGCCTCTCCCAGGAACAAGCAAGAGCTTTCTTTTGTATGGCAATAAATTCATGTGGATTACTCTCTCTTCCGTCATGCAAGAAGTATTCGTGCAACCACTGCCACTTTTCAACACGTATTTCCTTTCTAAGAGATTAATCCACAGAACGACGGCTCTGTGGACTTCTTTCTTTCCCTCTGCAAAGAACAGGTCCCGGCTAAAACTCCTACCACGCTTTTATCCTCTGCAGGGACAGAGCCCGATAAGTCTCACATTGGCTGAGAGGGGAAGGATGCATAGTAGACTTGCCCAGCAGGAGTCCTGAGGACCAAACATGCCTCTTGGTGTTACAAAGCATTCTGTGTGGTTACCCTCCAGATCACTAGGGTTTATGGGCCTCATCTTGCAGTCTTTGCTCAGACAACACTCCCATTGACTTCCACAGAACTTCTGTCTGAGTAAGGACCCAGGATTTGGCCCAGAAGTTAAAAAAAAAGTCTTCTCAGCTTTCAAATGTAGATGATTAATGTCCCAGAGACAGTGGGCAGAGGTTTGGCACACTGTACAAAACTGACTTAAAGCTGAAATTTTCCTCCTCTTTCTTAGCCTCTTTGCAGACACAGGCTTTGAAAACCACCAGTCTATGAGATGCTGCATTGTATCCATCATGGGAACATCTCACCTGCCATAGGGCTCGGCTGAAGCACAGAAGGGAGCATGCAAAGGGCTGAGTCTAGGGATCTACACAAGTTGCCTCCTGTCTCTGCAAGTCTGCAAAGCTTTTTGCTTCCAAGTTTTGCACGCCACTTAAATCAAACACGGAAAACCTCCTCACTGAGACTAGTCTCTCCATTACAGCTTGTGTTCAGAGACGCACAGCTCCTCTTTCTGAAAGCTTGACTTGCACAGCGTGTCCTCCCCCAAAACCCATTCCCTTATAGGCTCTGACATAAAAAGGGGTATCCTGCGCCAGAACAGTGGCACATACAGCCTCCAACAAGAGAGCATAGTGCAAGGAAGCAGCTGGGCATCTGTGACTCTGAACAGCCTGGAAGAAGAAGAAATGAAGGGCACGCTGAAGTCAAGGAAATAATGCACGGTCCTCTTCTGCTCTGCACGCAGCTCTGTAACCGGTGCCCTTTCCCACTCCTCCAGGAGTGATTCCCCGGCTTGAAGCACGGCACGTAAAAGCAAACAGGCAACGCCAGAGAAAACATTTCCAAACTGTGGAGCGCTGTGCGAAGAAACAGAGGAGGGATGAAGGGTGCAAAGCAACAAACAGATGGAGGTGGGGTCAGAGCGGCAAAGTGACGGGATCCCAGAGAGCAGGAGAAGGACGATCTCCATTGGGCTCAGAGATAAACAGGATCCTCCCATGTTGAAAAAGCAGTAAGCATCAATTTTGCCAAGCTATATTGTAAGGACAAGGGGTCCAGATGCAGCTTCTTAGTGCCTTTAAAATTCAGAAGACTCCTGAAGGAGATTTTTGCTTACATGGGGAGCCACCAGCGGGGTGAGAAAACAAATGACATCATGATAGACTAGACTATGCCAGTGTGTGTCAATCTATATGCTCTTACTGCACAGCAAGCGAGGCAGCTTGAAGAAAGCTGGCCTACGCACGGGCAATTCCCAGCCAACAGATCGAGCTCTCACTTAATGACAGTACAGTTTTGGCCACGGCGCCGGAAGCACAGGCAGGGACGGACTGCAGGCAGACACCACTTTCGGCCCCTTCCAGTGGAGAAGGAGGCTCCTGAAAGCGTTGCGAGTGCAGGGTACGGTAAAGAGAAAACTTTTTATTCAGGGAATAAGGTTCTGTCTCGCTCAGCAGCCGTATGTTCAGATGGGACCAAGGGCAAAGAGGGATACGTTCCAGTTTCAGTCATGCTCATGTGAATCATTAATCACCGCAAGAACTGGGGAGAGGCTGTGGATTTATATCCATGCAGCTTGTTTCAGAAACTGGGCTTAAAATAAAGACAGAGAAACAGAGCAAGCGCCAAAATTATATGCCATGACTGAGAGGAATATACAAAAGAACCAAGTATCATCTCCTTTTGCATAACATCCAAATGGAAAGGAGAATAGAGATGAATATCAAAGTGATCCTACACATCCAGCACAACATCCAGAACTGTTAATGGTTGCTTCCCTCTCCATTTGCTGACACAAAGTATTGCAGGACCAAGATCACAACTGGCTCTGTAAAGGCAGGCAACACTCAGGAATTTCTGGTATAACGCTCTCGCTGGGAAATTAAAATGGTGCAGTTGGTGAAGAAGAACTCGGGCTCGAGGAAAAAAGTTCAAAATATGCCAGATTTTGCATGATACACTAAAGAAAAAGAAGAAAAAGTACTTGAAAGCAGAGAAAACTGCACTGAGATGGAAATAAAAAGATGTTCAATTGCTGTGCTCCAGACCAGAGCTGTTAGCCAGCCAGTGAGGTCGGGTCTGGTAAAAAAGTCAAACCCAGGTTAAAAACATGCGTGGAGGGAGCAAGGGAAGAGGCAT